TTAGGATCTCATTCTGTTCCCCAGGCTGGAGTGCATGGCAGATCCTAGCTTACTGCAGCCTCAAACTCCTGGGTTCAAGTGATCATCCCATTTCAGCCTCCCAAAGTGCTGGGCCAAAAAAATTTTTTAATGATATCATCTAATCTGGTTTAGGAAGTTTACATTTTCTTTATCTGGTGATCTTCTAATCAAAGGACAACCCAGTCAAATCTAACATCTTAATATCTTGAATTCACCTCCATCTCCTTTATAAAGACAAATCATTTATGCATGGTAACTGTGGCTGAAGCAGAAATATCCAAGGTAATCATACCACTCCTTTACCTACTTACTCTTTTAAATAACATAATACTGTATACTAGAGAGTGACATAATAATATAATTAATTTACATGAATCATCTCCCAATTTTACTTCAAACTATTTCTGGTTCCTTTATTACCAAACAAAGCCTTCAGTTATATGCTATATACACATATATATATGCCAATTACACATTTTAACCTAACAGCTTAAATTTTAAGATATTTCCCTGTTTAAAAAAAAAATCAGTTCAACAACTTACTTATTGATTTGCTAAGACAAATGAAGATTTGTATTTTATACATTTTAAGGAATGTTTATAAAGCTTCTTTTCTCCTCTGACCTACAAAATTCTGTGTATCCATACATGGTCAAATACAAAGAAGTCAGAGACATATGGAAAAGATCCAGAAAACATAACTGTAAACTAGTGCCATTCACAGAATTCAACTGTATCCTATCATCTGGTTTTGCAAGTATCCTCATGGGATCCATGGAAAACAAATTAGTTCAAGTCCAAGAATTTCAAACTTTTCCTAACAAATCTACTCCAAATGGCCACTTTCCCATGCACTTTCCTTAAGCAGGTCACATCAATATATTTTACAGCATCACTCAGGGTTCTCTAAGATTAGATGTAACATTTAATACCAAAAGAATGAATCACTGGCATTTTCAACTGTTTTTCCCTGAAAAATAAATAAAACTAAAGCTATTGTCTGTGTATCATCTATGTATAATTAATCTATCAAGACCTCTTTTGGCATCTGAGATTCCAGAAATCCAAGATACTCATTTTCTAATACTGAGTGTATACAATATACAAGAGTTCCAGTATACTGAAAAAAAGTCAATGTTTATTATTCAGTTTCATGTACACTAACCTTCTCTAACTTAATGTCTACATGCCATTTATTAAGGTAAATAAATGTTATTTAATTAAGAACATAACATTTTGAAAAGAGGGTTAACATTTTCTGTCAAGACCTTACCTCTACTACACATTCTCAAGAGGTAGCATTATAGCCAAAACTGAAAAGATTTGAATGGCCTGAGACACTCCACTTAACTCAAACACAATAACTATCTATTTTGCTTATTTACTGGCTCCAAGGACAAATATCATCTTAGATATTTCATCATGTTCCACAAGAAAATGAAAGAGGAAGTGACCAATAGTAGGGTAGTTATGCTTAAAGAATAATCTCATCAAGACCCAAAACTACTTTATTGAGAAGAAAGTTGATCCAGAGACTCTAATTCGGCCTTCTACTCTGAACCATTCCTCCCCTCATATCCCTGTCTCCTTACACGGAAACCTCAAATCCCTTGCCCCTCTTATTTTCTATTAGCAACCTCCTTCCCAAAACCTTTCTCTTTCCCTTTCCAACTCAAATCCCATTCTGGATTAACCCATCTTTCTGTTTCTATGCCATAAAATTCATGACCTCTAATATTCCTCTGATGTGCTCCTTAGCCTCATGCCTCTCCCATTTCCCAGTAGGCTCTCCCCAAGCCCTCTATTTTATCGTGTCTGTCACAATACTCAGGGAAGTACCTCACATTTCCACTTAAAGATGAGAGCATTCCCAGTTTGTCTGAATAAGCACTGTACCTTCCATGGTACAGCGTGTGTGAAATATATCTTTTTCCTAACACTAATTTCTCAATCTATGCTGGGGAACTGATTAATTTCCATTTTAGACTCATCTTGACAACCTTTTACACTATTTCCCCTCTATCTTCAATCTCTCATTTCTTAGAGAATGAGTCACCAAAGGATATAACCATTCTCAGGTCTCTTTTGGAAATCATCAAACCACTCTCTGAGTCCTCTATACTCACTCCTAGGTATTCCTTCTCATCCCTTCCTTAATAGCCATCACCCATCTACACTGACTCGCTTACCACTCACTTCTCAACCCACTGCCATCTTGCTACCACTTCATTAAAATTTACCTTGCCAAGGTTGCCTCTACAGCACCTTACAGAAGCATCTTTCTTACTAAATCATAATTGTTTGTCCATATTTTTCCCACAATTGAGATCTTTGAGAACTTTGTGTTTTGTAGCCCCAAAACTTAGTATAAGACAAGCATTTAAATAAGTTATGTGAATTGCTCAGAAACTATCAAAACTGGACCAATTATCAACAGGAGAGTTTCCTGATCAGGCTCTGTGAAAATTTTTCAAGGAGTCTATCAATATGTTATCCCAGAGATGTATGTACTGCTTTCACCTTTTTTCACTTTCAAAACTTTTGCACCCACTTCACCTACAATAGTGATTCATAAAACTTCATGGACCAGCTGGGTGCAGTGGCTGACACCTGTAATCCCAGCACTTTAGGAGGCCAAGATGGGCAGATCATGTGAGGTCAGGACTTCGAGACCAGCCTGGCCAACATGGTCAAACCCATCTCTACCAAAAATACAAAAATTAGCTAGGCATGGTGGTAGCACGTGCCTGTAATCCCAGCTACTAGGGAGAACTGCTCAGGAGAATTGTTTGAACCCAGGAAGCGGAGGTTGCAGTGAGCCAAAACAGCGTCATTGCACCCCAGCCTGGAAGACAGAGCAAGACTCCATCTCGAAAAGGAAAAAAAAAAAAAAAAAAAAAAAAAAAAAAAAAAAAAAAAAAAAAAAAAAAAAAAAAAAAAAAAAAAAAAAAAGAACTTCACAGACCAAGAGAAGAGAAAGTTTCAAAGGGGAACAGCGTCAAATTTCCAATTAAGAAAAATCTAACACTGCCGTTGCACAAAAGAATTATCTTAACAGAATACATTAGGAGAAAATTAAAATGGACTTTAATCTCAGAAAAAAAAATGATAGTTTATTCCGAAGAAAAAACCGATGATACCCTTTCACTGACATAGAGTATGATTTAAAACTTTTCCATTGCAGGCCGGGCATGGTGGCTCCTGCCTGTAATCTCAGCACTTTGGGAGGCCGAGGTGGGTGGATCACTGGAGGTCAGGAGTTTGAGACTAACCTGGCCAACATGGTGAGACTCCATCTCTACTAAAAACACAAAATTAGCTGGGCGTGGTAGGGTGCACCTGTAATCCCAGGTATTCAGGAGGCTGAGTCAGGAGAATCACCTGAACCTGGGAGGTGAAGGTTGCAGTAAGCCAAGATAGCGCCACTGCACTCCAGCCTAGGCAAAGCAAGACTCCATCTCATTCATAAATAAATAAATGAAGGAATGAATGAAGCAAATGCAACAAAATTAAAATAAAGTTTGTTACCAAACATAAACATTGTAAGCATGTTTTTCCAAAAAAATTTGTTAATATGAGTATCTACATTTGAAATTGAAACATGAAGTGGAGCTCAAATGTTCAATTTTTTCTTTCACTTCATTTTAATCAATCTATTAGAAAAATATATATCTAAGTAAAACACAGAAGTAACATGGTACTATTTCATTCCATTTGAAACATTCTGAAAGAACTAAGGCAAAACAGACATAGAATATCCTGACAGACATACGATAAAATCAGTTTGCAGCTGGGAAAGAACACTACAGAGCAGTAGTTCTCAAAATTTAGTACCCAGACTGGTGGTAATACATTCTGAAAACTAAAGAGAAATACAAATTCTTTGGGACCTGCCTCAAACGTACTATAATACAGCAAACCATGAAGGAAGGGACTCAGCAATCTTTTTTAACAAGACTCCCAGGTGACTGTTACACGTGCTCAAGTTTGAGAAGCACTGATACAAAAAGTTCCAGGACCAGTATCAGCTCGCATCTGGAAATGCACACATATAACTCAGGGTCCAGAGGTCTAAGATAGAAGGTTAAGAGTTAATCTTAAAGACCTTCTATTATCAATACTGAAAACGTCACTTGAATCAGAACCACTATTTTACACACAGGAGACTAAAAACCAGCTCTCTGTTCAGAGAGTACACAGCTTCTCATTCCTTCCAAGACTGTGAATGTGAATGAATAGCTCCTTTAAGATACAAGTCTCTTATAAAGAGATAATGCTCAGGGATGAGAATATGAGATCATAGTCTTTATTAAAATTTTGCTCCTTATTCAGTTACATAACAGGAGAGGGTTTTTCTTTCCATTTTTATAAATGTTTGTCTTTTGAAGCTCAGGATTATGTGTTTTTCACCAGCCTAATATGTCTGGGCTAAGATACAATACTGGTGACCACTCCCCTCTACTTTGAGAATTTATGAGCTTCCAAGGGCAGATCATCTGCTAGACTACTGGGCTTGGTAAGGAGCCACCCAACTATTAGGAAGATTATATTATCATTTTCTAACTACATTTAGGCTTCTTGAATGACTCTGATCCTTTCCATAATATGGCATGTTCTTTCCTAAGTGAGCAAAAGAGTTTAGGTGATCTTCAAGTAGTTTACAGTATATAAAGGAATACATCTCTATGGTTCCATAAGGAAAGGGGACTTCTACAGGATTCTAGCAAGGATCAATCTAGTTTTCAAATGATACAGGTCTTCTTTTTAGTAAAGAAAAGATATTTAACAATGGTACACCTGCCTCTGTCTTAAAAATCTTGCTAGAGATATTCTCATCCTCCATTACTCCTTTGTTTTTAAAACAAGAGTTTCCAGGAAGATATCCACAACAAAAGAGGACATTTTTGAAGTATTACTTTAAAGGAAGGTAAAATGAGTTTAGACAATTTATTTTGAAGCTGGCCAATGTAAGAATTCTAATAAATTGAGGGCCTGTCACATGTTTCAGAGATGCTCACCTAGGGAGAAAATATCTGCAATATCTAAAATGTAGGAGATTATTAGTTAGGTTTTGAAAACTCTTATAAATCAGTAAGAACATGATAGAAAATATTCAGATTATTAAAACATCTTAATGAAATCTGAACAATGAGTACAAAACACATGTTCAACCTCACTAGAAATCAAAGAAAATAAACTCAATGCCTTGGTATCTTTATGCACACACAACAGCAACAAGTGCCTAAGTCCACCAAGACATTACAAGAATGTTCCTACTAGTAAAAAACTGAAAACTCAAATGCTTATCTAAAATAAATAATAATAATACACTGATATATTCACACAATGGAGTATTATGCGATGATGATAAAGAACTACACCCAACATGAGTAAATAATACAGATGTAATCTTCACCAAAAGAAAACATATAAAAAAGTATATGTATATAACATTCAAGAACAGACAAATTTACTCTATGGAGAAAGCAGTAAGTGTTTATCTCTCGGGGGTATAATACTGAATGACACTGAGCACATGGAAGAAACTAGGGTGCTGAAAATGAACCATATATTAATTTGGGTAGTGGTTAGTTTTACCTAGATATATGCATATCTAAATTCATAAATACCTAAATTAAGGTATTCCTAATAGATACCCAAATTAAGAAAGTTCAAAGTTCATTTTCTTGCTTAGGATTAACATTTCCAATATTTATCACAAAATAAATAAGCATGTAGGATCAAGTTTTTAGAGCATAATTTTACAGGTAATTTTAAATCTCAAGCCCTATAAAGGTTACCAAAAGAAAAGAAAAATCCTAAAATAGAAACATTAAAATGGAGAAATAAGATATTTACTTCATAAAATTACTCCTTTGGGATCTACTTACTAAACTGCATTTTCCAGTTTGATACATGAGTTACTGCCCCGAATATATAGATTGTCCTTCCATCCTGTGCACTGGGATGATCACTAACACTTCCTCAAATCCAGCTAAAAGCATCATTGCCTCACTCCTACTCCAGCCAAAACTGTTCACTTGCCTCCTCTCTGCTCATGTTCTATGTATTGCATGAGCAGAGCTCACCAACAGTATTTTTAATCAACAGTTCAGAGAAGTGCTGCCAAACAAAAATACCATGTCAATCATGTAAGTAATTTAAAATTCTTAGCAGCCACTTTTAAAATAAGAAAAAGATTAAATTAATAAATTTCATTTAACCTTATATATCCGGACTATTATCACTGCAGTATACAATCAATATAAAACATTATTGAGATTTTTTTTTTACACGCTCAGTCTCAGAAATCTGTGGTATATTTTATATGTGCAGAACATCACAATTCAGACCACCCACATTTCAAAGCTTAACAGCCACACGTGGCTACAGGCTGCTATACTATTTAATAAAAAGTGTGTATCTAGAGTCTAGCCCCTTGCTCTATAAAGTGTGATCTATCAGCCAGCAGCATTGGCATTATCTGGGATCTTATTAGAAATGTAAAAATGCAGCCCATCTCAGACCTACTATTACAACTAAATTTAATAGGATTCTCAAGACTGGAATGCACAGCAAATATTGACAAGCAGTAAATTTGATCACATATACCTTTGGGAGTCTTACAGAATTGCTATTGCCATTCGACTATGATATGGTATTATCCCACTGACTAATATAGAACACTGTATTTAAATAACAATAGCTTTTCTGTGAATCATGTTTTCTCTACATTGTCCAATGCAATTTTCTGCAATGATGAAAATGTTCATATATGTGCTGCACAAAATGGTAGCCACTTGTGGATGTTGACTACTTGTATCTGGAGCAAATGAGAAAGTGCATTTTTAATTTAATTAATTTTAACTGACTTAAACATGTGGCAAATGACTACCATACTAGACAGCACAACTTCAGGGGAATTGGTTACTATGTCACGGAGTCATCTCTAGGAGAGTTCTTAGGACAAATTTGTAAAGCTCTAGTCAAGATAATTCTTCTGATTAACTGAACTTCTTTTTAAAAAAATTTTCTGAAGTCATATTACCACCTCACACTGGCTAAGGGCAAATTTGCATCTCACCTCCAAGGAAGCATAATAAAATGTGCATGTGCTTTGTGACTATTAATGTTATTCCAACTTATCAGTTAACAATACTAACATCCATACCTGTACAGTCTTTTTAATTCTATGAGAAGGACCTGGATACTCTGGAGAGTACAAATCTGTGAGGAACAATGAGTTGATTAATGTCGACTTTCCCAATCCAGATTCACCTAAAAGAAATAAGGGGGAATATCTGTTAAACTCACCCACTTTATCCAACCTTAGATATTCAACAGATGCTATAATCAAATTTGTTTTACGCAAGTACTTCTTGGTGAGACAACCAAATGACATTAGAAAATGTACTACAAAGAATAAGTATCTTGTCCTCAGTTTCTTACCTATCAAATTAGACTCGTGTTCCAAGGATCCTTTTCAGCCTTCTAATTATACCACTTGTATTCATTAAAAGTAATGTAACAGTAATGTATTCCCAAAGAAAAAAGTCATTATTAAAAAATCCAAGTTGGATTATATATCACTGCTTCAGTAAAATAAAGTTTTTCATTATTAATAGGCAATAATCAATGACCAAAAAAAGAAATCATGCAGCTATAAAAAGCAAAAATCTGCTGATACAAAGAAAAATTAATCACAATGAACATCTCCATATAAAATTGCAAATCACAAAAAATACTTTCTAATTTACCCACCCATCAGCCTAAATATAAGGGTGCTTTCTCCACAAACCAGAATCCAAAAAATCTTAGGTAATTACTTTTTATACTGCATCCACGAGGTAGGAGGCAGACATAAAGGAAGCTAGGGCATGATTTCTACGCTGATCACGTACTCTTTTTTGACCCTCTATGTGTAGTCTAATATACATAGTTCAGTGTACAGTAACTGTTACAAGTATACCAAAATATAAATGGCTCCAAGGTATATATATAACCTAAATTTAAAATAAATTATAAATCATATTATGGTAATTAACATGGCATAGAGTTAAAGTATTTACTGTTAATAATTCACTTAGAGTATAGGCATGTTTAGCCTAAGTAACTGATGTCACAATATTTATATGTCTAGAAGGAATTTTTTTTATATTAAGTCTCAAAAGAACTAAGATCCTTTCCACACGGTCTGGGCTTATCCCTTTGACTGACAGCATGCCACTTTTTGTTAGATGTAAAAACGCCAAAAATTTCTAAGTCACAGGAAAGTAACTTACAGACTGGCCACACCAGATTCTTTCTTAACTCTTATACTTTGAAGGAAGAAAGACTAGAATAAAACCCAAGCATTTGGATGTTATCAGAAATATCTATATTTCCTTTTGGAAATATAAATGAAAATTATAGTATATACAACGTTTTAGGAAATAAAACCAAAAGTATGCTAATTTAAAAATTAACACTGTACTCAACAAATTTATGTTGAGTCCCCCCCAATTTTTATTGGTGGTGAGGAGTAGGGGAACAAGACAACGCAGGACAAACAGAAGACAGAGAAAGAAAAATAACAGTCTGCAAGGTAACACACCAAAATGTAAATCGTGGCTACTCTGAGGACAGTACAATCTGGGTGAGATTTTTTTCTTCGCTTGTTATACTTCTGGGTGCTACAAACTTCCTTCAACAGGATTCTATTATTTTCATAGTTTAAAAAGTGTTATTGAGTGGCATCCACAAAACTCATTCCCTCACAGAAACACCAAAAACAACCAGAAACTAGTTGGATTAACCTTACAGGACCGGTGAAAAACAGGTCTATAGCAACAAAGGAAATACCCAAGTAAGAAAAAAAATATGCAAAACTTTTGTGACATTTTTTCTGTGATCTTGTCCCAACTCTTCTGCAGTTTATCTGGGTCTCCTGGAGGCAGCAAATCAATTCCCAATTCATTCCCTTCAAATGGGCAGAAGAGTACCGACCTAATTTGTAACATTTTAACCTCTCTGGTCTGCCAGAAGGACTGGTTCCTGTTTTGCCTAACTGGGTCCTCATCAGGTCAAAGAAGCAATGGGCACCGTTTATGAAAGCTGCAAGGGGACTACAGTATGTAGATGTTTGGGGCTTAAGACTACAGAGTGTGGATATTAACAGACCATCTGAGTATCCAGGAGAAGCTCTGAGTATCCAGGTGAGAGTCTGTGGGAAATTAAGACACTCAAAAGCAGCCACGTATACAGGAGGAATTGAAAAAGCTACCCACAGGCCTAGGCAATACAAATGCTCAGAAAAAAAAGACCTTAGGCTTTCATCTTGGGGTGATCACTAGGTTAAAGGCATGCTCAACATATCAGCACAGAAATGCCCCAGTAGGACATTGCCAGTCTCCAACTGGGAGAGGTGACTCTTTCAAATACTCAGTTTTCAGAACACATCACAAGGCATGCAACAAGATATAAGAAAACATGGCCCATTCAAAGGAACAAAAATTTCCAGAAACCATTCCTGAAGAAATACAGATATTAAATTAGACAGACTTCAAAACAGCTGTCTTAACTATGTCCAAAGAGCTAAAGAAAAAAATGAACCAAAAGGAATGGAAATCAGAAAAATAAGCAAAATGAGAATATCAATAAAGAGAAATTATAAATGAGAATATCAATAAGGAGAAATTATACAAAGTTATTGTGGAGCTGAAAAATACAATAACTGAATTGAAAATTTCACTATATAGGTTCAATAGTAGAACTGAGTAGGCAAAAGAAAAAAAATCAGCAAACCCGAAGAAAAGACAACTGAAATTATCAAATCTGAGCAGAAAGAAAAAAGAAAGAAGAAAAGTAAACAAAGCTTAAGGGATTATGAAAGAAATGAATTGGACCTATACCCAATGGATGTTTTAGAGGAAGAGAAATTAACACAGAGATTACATGAAGGAAAAAACTTCCCAAAGGTGATGAAACTGATGAATCTACAAATCCAAGGATCTCAACAAACTCTAAATAAGAAAAACTCACCATCAATACCAAGACAATTACAATCAAACAGTCAAAAGCCAAGACAGAGAATTTTGAAAATGGCAAAAGAGAAGTGACTCACTGCATAGACAGAATCCTCAAATAAGACTATAAGCCAACTTTCTGGCAGAAGCCTTGGGGCAGGCAGTGTGATGATACATTTAAAGTGCTACAAGAAAATAACTGTCAAATGAGAATTCTGTATCTACCAAAACTGACCATTAAAAATGAAGTGGAAATAAACACATTCCCCAATAAATAAAACCTGAGGGAGGTTCATTATCACTACACACATATTACAAGAAATACAGAAAGTAGTCCTTCAGGTTGGAATAAAAGGACTCCAGACAGTAACTGAAAGCAATATAAATATCCTGTAAAGGTAAATGCAAGGGCAAATATAAAAACCAGTATTATTATAATTTTGGTTTGCAACCTCACCTTTTATTTTCTATGAGTTTTAAAAGGCAAATGCATTTTAAAAAATCACAAATCTGCATTAGTAGACACATAATGTATAATAATGTAATTTACAACATCAAGAACATAAAAGGGAGGCAGAGCAGTGGAAATATAGTTGTTCAATGTATTTAAATTGGTATAAAAATTAGACTGTAATAACTTAAGGATATTATATATTATCCCTATAACAACCAATGAAAATTTCTATAGAATATACAAAAAAAAAAAAAAAAAAAAAAGAAAAAAAAAAAAAAAAAAAAAAAAAAAAAAAGAAGGGAATCAAATTGTGTCAATACAAAAAAAAAATCAAGTAAACACAAACAAAGGCAGTAATGGAAGAAATCTAGGACAAAACAGCTAAAAGACATACAGAAAACAAATAAAATGGCAAAAGTTAGTTCTTTCTTATATTTACATGTAAATTGATTAAACTCACCCAATTAAAGGCACAGAGAGTCATGACAGATAAAATGACATGACCCAACTGCATATCTACAAAAGACACACTGTAGATCTAAGAGAAGACATAGGTTTGAAGTAAAAGGCTGAAAAAAGATATTTCATGTAAATAGTAACCAGAAAAGTAGAGAAGCCATGCTAGTATCAGATAAAATAGTCTCAGGTCAAAAACCATTATGAAAGACTAAAGGATTTTAAATGTTGATAAATGGGTCACAAGATGATGTAACAATTACACACACACACACACACACACCCCCCCCCAAACATCAGAACTTTAAATAATGTGAAGCAAACACTAGTAGAATTAAAGGGAGAAACGCATTTCTGTAAGAGACTTCAATACTCCAGTTTCAGTAATGAACAGAACAACTAAACAGAAGACAAGAAAATAGAGGATATGAACAAAACTGTAAATCAACTGAAGCTAACAGACAAAGACAAAACACCAAATCCAACAACGGCAGTCTATACATTTTTCTCAAGGGCATGTAGAACATTTTCAGGAATGACTAAAAGAAACAAGTCTTAATAAATTTTAAAGAACTGAAATCAAGCAAAGTATTTTTTCCCATCATAAAATAAAACTAAAAATCAGTAATAGAAGCAAACTAGAAAAACTGGCAAATATTTGGAAATCAAACACATTCTTAAGCAACTAATGGATCACAGAAATCATAAGGGAAATCAGAATATACCGAGACAAAATAAAAATGAAAACCCAACATACCAAACCTTATGGAATGCAGAAAAAGCAGTGCTAAGAAGGAAATTTAGAGTTGTAAACACTTACATCAAAGCTAGCAAAAAGAAGAAAATAATAAAGATTAGAGCAGAGATAAATAAAGAGATTTTAAGAACAGAAAGAACACTTTAAGATTATATTCTTTCCGTTTGTATTTTTTATCTTTTAAATTCTTAACACTATGTGAAGCAATGCCCTGTATACCCTGAACTCAGCTATGAGATATTTAACACACCAGGGGATATATAAATAAATTAACTTCCATCAATTCCTGGACTACTTACTCTGAAATTATGGACCAAAGTTTTCTAATTCAATTCCCAAGTAGTATTAAAATCAAGGTGTACTGTTATTTCAAGAAACTTTATCCACGGTTATGAAAGTTTAAAAATTTATCAAATATGTGGGAAAACTGCAATTTAAAGAGAAATAATTAGGTTTCCTATTTTTTTTTTTAGACCGATTACAATGTGAACCATAACTACACTAATGGGTGGTCTCTATAAAAGTAAACACTGCAAACAATAAAGGGTATCATTTGGCTAAGAAAAAGATAATTTCTAATTCCAATTCAACACTGTTCCTATGAAAC